CCCTAAACCTAAAGCCTAAAACCCTAAACCCTAAACCCTAGCCTCCTAAGGTACTATACCCAAACTAGACCCTAGACCCTAAACCCTAAACTGCGCGTTCTTTGTCAGGAGGACGAGCCGGAAGGTTTGGCGAATGATGCCGAGGTCTGTGTCGGTCCAACTATCCGACATCACGTTTTTCTCGGTTTAGGGTCCCGTAAGGGTTTAGGCTTTAGGGTCCTTTAAGGGTTTATAGGGTGCAGGGTTTAGGGTCCTTTAAGGGTTCAGGGTGTAGGGTTTAGGGTCCTTTAAGGGTTCAGGATGTAGGGTTTAGGGTCCTCTAAGGGTTCTTTTCAGTTTTTTTTTTTTTTTTGGTGCCGGTCCTTTTTAGATGGTTCTAGAAGGGTTGTTTTAAAGGGTTTCGATGAGGGTTGCTAAAAGGCGTTTTGGGGTTTAGGGGCTTTATAGGGTGTAGGGTTAGGCTGGTGTGACGGTGTCTTAAACTTCTGCAAGGCCCTTCTAATCAACCCTACTGCTTCGGCTGTATACTATTTTTCGGGTTTAGGATATCCAGATTTCGCAACATGACTATGCCTAATATATAGGCCTACAACAGCCTTTAGGATTCAAAGACGCGAGCTGCTATCACTTCAGGGTTGCACCCGGTCACTTCTTGAAGACACCTGGCTGGACGATCGCAGCGCTACACGTGCTGCTTTCAGGCGAGGGCCCTGAGCTCTATCCTAAAGCCCTGAATCCAAAAAATGAGGCTGTGCTTCCGAACGCGTAATCCTCAAACCACGAACCAAACCAACCTCCAGGCTTGCTACTATAAGCTTGATCTTGAGACAGTAGCAATGAGGGTTGCCCCTTTCATAAACCCTAAACTCTGCTTCAACCCCCAAAAGCCTAAACCCCAAGACCCTAAACCTTAATCTTAAACCCTGTATAAACCCTAAACTCCACATAAACTCCGAAACCCCCTGCCTTAACCCCAATCTCTAAACTCCCAAGCTTGCACCCGGAACCCTTAACCCTGAACACAAACGAAACCCCAAACCCTAAACCTTACACCCTTTAACCTTAAACCTAAACCGGAAAAACCCTGAACCCTGAACCCTTTAACTTTAAGCGGAAACCCCAAACCCTAAACCCTGAACCCTTAACCCTTAAGCCTGGAGACAGGTTGAAGAGTTCGCAGAGTTTGCAAACCGAGAGGCTGTCAGAAGCACCTGTGTGGTCGTGGGCTGAGGATTCCAAGGGCAGCACGTGGTTCGGGGTTTTAGGGTTGAGGGGCTTAGGGCTTTAGGGGTTTGGGGGGGTTTAGAGTTTAGGGCTTTGGGGCTTTAGGGGTTTAGGGTTTAGGGGTTTAGAGTTTAGGGTTTAGGGCTTTAGGGGTTTAGGGTTTAGGGGTTTAGAGTTTAGGGATTAGGGCTTTGGGGCTTTAGGAGTTTAGGGTTTTTGCTTTAGGGGTGTAGGGTTTAGGGGGTTCAGGGGGTTTAGAGTTTAGGGTTTAGGGCTTTAGGGGTTTAGGGCTTCAGGCTCCAAAGGACCCAAGAGATAGTTGGGTTTAGGATAGTAGTTATGTAGGTTAGTTTGGGGAGAGTACAGGATCTTATGTCATGTGCTTGGACCCTGTAGCGTCAGGGTCTCAAACATATCTACTCGGAAAGAAAGGGGCCTGAAGCATTGCAAATGTTTTCCTGAGGGTCCCTTAAAGTAATTACATTTAAGTTTAGTAAAGTGGATCCTAAACTCTGTCCATCATAAATGCCTCTCTACATTGTCCCTTGTCATTGTCCCTACATAGCGATATACGCAGTACCAAAAAATCCCCTCAAGACCCCATTGGAGTCGTTAAGATTCATCTGTGATGTTGGGTTTAAAGACTTATAAGGCTGTTTGACTTAGGATCTTGAGGCACTCAGGTATTCTACGTCTCCTCATGCTCTTCTTTCTACGAAGTACCAAGGGAAGACTCGGAGCTCAGCGTTTTGGTTTAAGGGTTTAGTCCTTTGTTAGGGCACACAGAGTTTCTTTAGGGGAATGTTATCGTTTCGGGCTGTTGGGCTTGGCCGTTTGGGGCCAAGGGTTCTAGTTAGAGGTTTGCCTGTGTTTGGAGCCGTACAAGTAGACGGAGGTTTTTTCCTTTGCATGGCTCTCCTGGATTTCAGGTATGGGGGCTTCCGAAAATAGGGGACCCTAATCCTAATATAGTACCCTAAATAGTAGGATCCTGATTATAAGGACCCCAAAAGAAGGTACCCCTTATTTTCGGAAAGCCCATATGTCTCTGGCAGATCCATAACTAGAAAAACCTCCGAGCCGAAGCCCTGTCCACAAATCTGCACCTGCATGAAACGAGGTGGTAACCCTCCTCTCTTGGAGCCAAAGCAAGGCCCGGGGCAGTTTTTCCGCTCCTCTGAATTGCAGCAGTCCATCTTGCGACAACTACCGCGAGAGGGAGTGGAGGGTTCATCAACTAAACAGTGTGGTTACATGTGCTACTGTGATCACGGTTATCAGGCAAAGGATCCAGGAAGCAAATAGTGACAAAATAGTGTAGATGAAGAGACGACGATGCCGACGTAGGTATTGATGTATTTCAGAGCGGTGGTGATGCGCCTGGTGGCGAAACTCTTGTGGTCGTGAACCATAGAACCATTGAGCGGTGGCGGGCAGAGAGCTATGAGCCAACTCACAGTACAGCTCAACAGAAAATTCGATGCTCCTAAGCCCAAAACCCTTTGCAATGTGGCGGGGTTGGTGGCGTGAGCGGAGATTGCCTTGAAGCAACGAGAACCCAATACCCTAAGCGGTTAAACCCTAAAACGCAAAATCCCAGAGCTTGTATAGCATATGGCCCCTGAGCCCTATAGGCCCATAGCTTATGTAGCCCCTAAATCCTAAAGCCCTTACGCCCAAGATCCGCAGCTCCAAGATAAGGGGCTGTTGGCCTAAATTATAATCCTCGCAAAGCTCTCATAAAGCATCTGCAAACCATGATAAAGCCCTTCTATGTAGAACCCGGAAAGAACTCTTGTGGAACCATACTCCATCATGTCTTATACCAAAATCATAGAGTCCTACGCAAACCCAAATAAAGCCCGTTCCGAAGCTGATAAGATTTTCATGGAAGCCCTCTCGAGCTTTTTTGTAACAAGCCACATACAACCATTCTAACCCCTTATCCCTAAACCCTGAACCCCTAATCCCTAAAAGCCCTAATCCCGATAAGCCCTAAACCCGGAAGGTGCCGTCAGGGATCCTCACCCCGGAGGGCTCCGAGCTGTGGCCTTTGCTTTTTATTAACTTGTTGTTGGATTTGGGTGGTTAGGGTTTCAGGAGGGTTAAGTTTAAGGGTGTGTTTTATGTTTGGTTTTTCAGGGGTAGAGTATAGAAGCACTACTGTATATATAGGGGCCACAGGGGGAGATTATGTGTCAAAGTTATTGTTGCTTGTCTTTTTCTGGGTCTTGCGCTGGGGCGCAGCTGTTCTGCAGGGTGCCTTTTGACGAATGTTTGCCGACAGGTCGCGCAAGGACTTCCTACACGGAACCCTCGTAAAGTTAATATGAATTGAATTTACAAGCTTTAGTATTTCGTACTCATAGACCCCTAGTTATCAATCCTGCGAGACCTCTTTTGCAAGTAAGGCAGCACCTTGTCTAGATGCTTTGCCCGGCTTCAAAGATGACAAAAGGCGAAGGTGTAGAAGTTGAGGAGCCTGCATGCCAATTCTGAAGCCTCAGAGAGACGTCCCTAAGACCGAGAGGCAGACAGAGACAGAAAGAAGGGGGGCGAGCTCACGTTCGGGCTACAAGGCTCCATCCAAAAGAGCGTCCGAGCTCCCATAAGGGTTGCTTTTACTGCTCCTTTAAGGGTTGGGTTCCGTTTAGGATTCCTGTAAAGGGATCCTTATGTGATCTGCAGCTCTCTCTGCCCAAGTTCAATAGTCGTTTGCTACAGACCTCCCCGGCTGCCATGGCAGTTTGGTTTCCTCGTTCCGGCCTTTCGGCAGTAAAAGGGCTCTGGCCGTCATGGTGGTTACGAGGGGTGTCTTGCCAGTGTGTCCGTGGTATGCAGGACATCGAGGTTCGTTTCACGACTACAAAGGTCGCGCTTTTGTGTAGTGTGCTTTGGAGGGCCCCGGGCCTCACTCACTCACTTCCGGGACGTCCCGAAAGCACGAGCATATGCACATCAAACATCAAAACGGCCGATGATGGTGATGATGATGATGATGATGATGACGGTGATGACGATGGTGATGATGATAGTGATGATGGTGGTGATGATGGTGGTGATGATGATGATGGTTGTGGCGACGATGGTGACAATGATCATGATGGTGGTGATGTTTCATGATGACTGTGACGGCGATGGTGATAATGGTCATGATGGTGATGATGATGACGATGATGATGATGCTGATAGTGATGGTGATGATAGATAGTGTTGATATTGAGGAGGAGAAATAACATGATGATGCTCATGACCAAGATTACGATAACGGTGATGAGAATGATGAGAACGATGATGATGGTGATGATGATGATGACGATCAGTATGATGAGTATGATGAGTCTGATGAGTATGATGATGATGATGCTGATGATGATGGTGGTGATGACGATGGTGACGACGATGGTGATCATGACGATGACGATGGCGGCGATGATCATTGCGGTGATTGTGATGATAATGGTGGTCGTGGTGACGAAGATAGTGATCATGATGATGAGGAGGATGTTGACGATGATGGGTTGTGATGATGGTGATGGTGATCTTGATGGTGATCTTGCTGCTGCTGCTGCTGCTGCTGCTGCCACGGCTGCTGCCACGGCTGCTGCTGCTGCTGCTGCTGCCGCGGCTGCTGCTGCTGCTGCCGCCGCTGCTGATGGTGGCGGTGGTGGTGGTGGCGGCGGCGGCGTGCATCGTGACGATTGTCATGGTCGTGACCGATTGGGATGTCCGAGGCCTCAGAATGGTAGCCCCTACTAGCATCAGAGGAGGATACTCCGAAGCGTGACGCATGAACCACTTCAGCTACCAATGCATCCCCCGAGTTTGAAACGAATGCCTTGACTCTGCGGACCTATGTTTGTAAAGCCTCCGTCGCTCAGACCCAGGAAAATTCGTGACAAGTCATCCCTTAACGAAGCCTTGGCTTAGGTCGCTCTCTCCTGTTCCAGATGATCTTTCTCTGTTTGCAGGAGGCCCGCGGCTGTAGATGTTGCCAGAGCTAGAAATGAACGTCCAGATCCTTTGGTCCCAGATGATTGAAACCTTCTTGACGCGGGTCCCTAAACCCTAAACCCTAAACGGCTTCTTGACCTTCTCCGCTGGTCGCTCGCCGTGTCCTGCTGCACACTTGGACTAGGCCTTGTCCTTTGCAGAGGATGAGACGCCCACACGAAGCTATAAGCCCTACACAAAAGAAAACCTTGTAACACCTATCAAACAAACCCTAGGAACCACATAACAAAATTAAACAACTGTCATGTTAACTGCCTCGTTTTTTGTTCTGGAGGCCCTATCGGCGAATGCCCCCGAGGGCTCTGCGGCTGAGGCTCGGTTTTTGCACGGCCCCTTGGATATTTCTTACGGATTTACATTTTTGAAATGGTCAAAGCCGTTGCATGAAGTTTTGGCAGGGTTCCACAGGGTTTTATCTGGTTTCACTTGGGTTTGCAGAAGCTTGTAGTTGAGTGCCTGTAAGATAGGTTTCGGGTTTAGTGTCTGAGTGAGGCTTTACGGTTGAGAAGTTTGGGTTTTTTTGGTGAATTAGGAATTTAGGATCCGGGGTATCATGCTGCAAGCGTTTCTTAACACCAAAAGGGGATCACAGCATTTGGACACCGAGGCTACTTCACCTCTCTTTGTGGATGCGTCAATGCTTTCAAAAACGACAAGGGGGAAGTTTTCACGGCGGAAGAGGTGTCGAAGATGGCCACCGACACTACATCTCAGTCGTGCCATGGCTTGGCAGAATTACTACATGCATCATTATTGCTATTCTTACTGCTATTATGATTATGCCTCAACCCCAAACCCCTAAACCCTAAACTACTGTAGTCTTATTTCTTCTTAGTACTATTCGCTGCTCCAGGTTTAGGCCCTCAAGCGGCAGAGGACGAGCTTGAGATTCGTGGATGTCATCCCATGGATCTAGGACTCTAGGACTGTTGTTATTTTTATTACTAGTACTATTATTATTATTATTATTGCTCCTACTGTCATTGTTATTTTTACTCTGATTATCATTAAACCCTAGACCCTAATCCCTCAACCCTAAATTGCTCTCGTTATTTTTCTTCCCTAGGGGATCGAGGACTCTAGGACTTGCAGCCCGGGGGTCTGGGTCGGGCTGACCACAGCTTTTGGTGTTGAGGCTTCCTACACCCTACCTATAGTCTCCATTGTAGTTCCCTTTGTTGGTTTAACCTATTCTTTCTTAAGGATCCTAAAAGAACCGTAGATGGCCTCAGGGCCCCAAGCTTCGAAAGTGCAGAGTCTAACGGGGCCAAGGCGCACGGTTACAAGTTTCTGTGACTTGTGTAGCCCGGCTCTCCTATCAGATTCTGCGAAGTCACAACTTGCAAACCCCATAAACCATAAACCGTAGTAGCCATGAGGTTTGTCAAGGGTTCTGCTCCGGAGCATTAAACTTCAATCCCCAAGCCAGCCCGAAAGCTTTTCTGCCAAGACCCAGGTGGCTCCCCAAAAGCGTCTATCGGAGCCGAAGGGAGCTCCAAAACCCTAAACCCGACAGTTTCAAACGAGTCTATCGAACCTTAGGGAGCTAACCACATTATCTTGAGTAGGTTCCGCGCCGCTGAGGTTTTTCAGCCCCAGCTATGCGTCCGAGGAAGAGCGTGAAGAGCGCGAGCGGCGGACTGCCTGATGTCACAAGACCTGTCAACATCATAGGTTTGATCCTGCATCGTATATTCTTTGATCCCTGATCGCCTACGCCCCAAAAGCCCTAAACCCCGAAACCCTAAACCCTAAACCCCTAAACCCCTAAACCCTAAACCCTGGCCGAGATCCGCGGAAGAGCGCTGCATGATAGTCTTGGGCCTCGACCATGGAGGCGGGATCTTCGAAGCTGAATATGAAACCTCCCCCCTCCCACCCCCACCCCCCCACCCCCACCACCCTCCACCACCCCGGGTTTAGATTCTGGGGTTTTGGGTTTTTTTGGGGTTTTGGGGGTTTTGGGGTTTAGGGTTTAGGGCTTTCGGGGAAAGGGTTTAGGGGTGTAGGGGTGTATGGGGCCAGTGAGCACTGAAACAGCTTACATCGCTAGTGCTAGGACCGTTACGCGAGGGTTGCCTCTGTGAGCTTTCATGCAGAGTGTCCTGAGAACTTCTGTGTTCGTCGAAAATTGAAAGCAGAAGCGGCATGTCAGAGATGCCCATGTCGATCACAGCCTTCATCCGAACAATCTACGACGTAGTGCTCAGGACTTGCAAACCGGTAGTGTGGATGTTCGTATGATTACTGATACCTTTCATGGTCAGTCATATTGCCAATATAACAACAGCAACAACAACACCGACACCAACAGCAACGGCACCAGCAAGCGCAGCAGCATCAACAGCCACAACCACAGCGAAAGCGATAACGCCCCACGACCGCAACCGCAACCGCACCGCGACGACGACGACGACGACGACTACTACTAACACGACGACAACGACGAGTACGACTACGATCACGACTACTACTACTACTACTATTACTACTACGACTACTACTCCTTGTACGACGTCGGCCGAAGTCGAGGACTAGTACCACTACCACTGCCGCCATGACCACTACCACGACTACTACCACCACCACTCCGACTACTACTTGCTACTGCTGCTGCTACTACTACTACTACTACGACGACGACGACGACTACTACAAACTACTAACTACTAACTAATCCTTACTACTTACTACTAACTACTTACTACTTACTACTTATCACTTACTAGTTACTACTTACTCCTCCCACTCCTACTCCTACTCCTACTCCTACTCCTACTCCTACTCCTACTCCTACTCCTACTCCTACTACCACAACTACTACGACTACT